TCAAGCTTAAAAATTCACCGTCTTCACTTCGCTAACGATAACTTTGGCTTGCGCGCTACGAAAATTCGACTGCGTGTTGTAGATCGATTGCCCACAACGAAAAGACCAAGACAAACTACAACTTCATGTATGTACATTCTTGGCCTTGGGCATACCGTAATGAACAAATGGCAGCAAATAGGCGTTCATTCCTTTCATTTTAAGAGGTTTTTAAAATTTAGTTAGAGTTTTAAAAATTAGTAAAACTAGTTAATAAATGCAGCCAATAACACATCCAAGAACCACTACCTTTCATTTAAACCGAAATGACATGAAAACCAACGATTTTCTGTGAAATGTTTTCTTAAACTAGTAAAATCTGCGATAGAAAGTTTTGATATGCTTCACACGGCTTACGGAGATGTTGCTATGAAAAGTATTGCATGTTTCAAGTGACATGAACCTTTCGGCAGTCCATTGAAAATAATTAGCGTCCTGGAAGTCTTTCCACGTCAACTGATGACGCACACGTCGACAAAATCAATACCCTGGTGCGAGCAAATCGACGTCTGGCTGTCAGGGAGCTTGCTGAAGAGTGTGAGCTATCAGCTGGATCTTGTCACGAGGTTTTGACTGAGAAATTGAAGATGCGCTGCGTTGCTGCGAAATTGGTGCTACACCTGATGACACAGGAACAAAAAACCCATCGTGTCCAGCTTTGTCTGGAACAGCTTGATCGTTCAGAAGAAGATATACACTTCTTTTCAAAGATCATAACTGGAGATGAATTTATGGTTATGACATTTAAACAAAGGCCCAATTGTCCCAGTGAACTGGTGAAACTTCTCCAGATCCAAAAAAGCCCTGCCAAGTTCAACGTCCAATGTCAAAGACACAGACTTTTTATGCTAAGGGTTTTGTTCACCACGATTATTTCCCAGAAGGCTTCACATTACTACATTGAAGTTCTGAAATGGCAGAGGGACGCCAACCGTCGGAAAAGGCCAGAAATGTGGAGGAGAGGCGACTGATTTTTCCATCACTCCAACGCTCCAGCCCATTCAGCCCTCAGAACTCTTGAGTTTTTTGACCGAACACTCCAGCACTGTTCTTCCCCACCCTCCCTTTTTACCTGACCTTGCTCCTTGTGACCTTTTCTTTTTCTGCAACTCAAAATACCCTTGAAAGGAAGATGATTTGAGACGATTCCCGTGATTATGGCAAATTCGGCGAAGGAGCTGAGGAACATTATAAAAGAAGCGCACTAGGACTGTTTCAACATGTGGAAACCCCCTTGGCAGAAGAATGGGGTGTTGGAGAGGAAAATACTTTGAAGGGGATCCAGACATCTAACTTGTAAGTGTAGTACATTTTGTTTCATGGCGTCAGTCCGCGTAGTACTTCTTTGATCAGCAATCGTATTATGACAGTCATCAAGGCGATCAAACATTTCAGATTATTGTAGTGACTAGTAATCAACGCGTAGTTTAATATAGGAAGGAAGTGAAACAGATTAAAAAGAAAACAATGAATAAGTTTCTATTTCAGTAAATGTAATTAATAAATTGTTATGATAAGTGCGAATTCACCTGGATCAAAAGGAAATAGCAAATAGCATAGTCAACAAGATGAGTATAATAGATTCTTATAATATCAGTTTTCAGAGGGTACCTGTACATTGGTAAAATACATTATACTACCTGTACATTGGAAGGTAGTGAATACTCTTCCTGATATTTAGAAGAATCGTTACCCATAATATATCTGATTGACAATAATTAAACCTAATGTCGTAATGACACAAAAATTAAACAAGTATTTTAATTGACACAATGTTTACTTTCATAATGAACTTACAAAACACAAATGAAACTTTTTAACTCTACCGGAGGTGCAGTGCTAAGCTTGTTCAGAAGTGTGCTCTATAGACAATCCATTCCTGGGGTTGAAGCATCATTCTCCGTACATCAACTCCCACACTCTGAATACTTGAACTTTTATACTTATTCTTAAAATTGCCTTAATTGGTAATATTCAGTCGATCCCTGTTACAGTGAACTTCTGGTCACTGACATTTAAACTAATCAGAGGTTCACTCTATCAGTGCTTTCTATATTCAAATGATATATAGACTTTAATATTAAATATAATATAGACTTTCTATATTAAAATGAGCGTTTTTTGTAACACTTGTGTTGGAAATTATCGCACTGAGACTATACATTATTTTCCAGGAGGGAATTAATTTCTATGTCGTATTTCCTATAACCGAGGTTCAGGTTCACTATAACCGATTTGTCTTATGTTTATTTGTAATGCAAGTGAAACGGGACCAGTGATTTAAGTTCACTATAACCGAGGGTTCACTATATCCGAGTTCAATACACTCGGCGTCAACTGAATATTTTGAGGATATCTTATGTTTAGTTTCCATTGACTTAGGGTATACGTCATTAGATTTAAGTTTTGAGAAACCGCTTGCTTAAAGGAGTATATGTTGTGGCATAATTTACATATGCTCAATAACAAGGTTATGGAGACATTTTATTTCACTGGCACACAATTACAATAAATATACAATTCACTAGTAATTGCAAGGCATATTTAAATACCAACTAGAAAATGTACCTGCTATCAGTATCCATGTGTAAAAAATGCTACGAAATATTTTTAATTAACACTTTAAGCTGCATTGGTCATCAACATGATGCCTTCAAGTAAGGAGTGTCGGTATACAAACTCGATTTCAGACTTATAAAAATGTGTAAATCTTGTGATCTTAAGATGTGTAAAAATGTGTTACAGAATCGTCTCGCCAATTTATGTAGTAAAGAGAACTCAATTTAACACAATAATACTTGTGTTTAATTCCTGAAATGAACGAACAAGTAATAATTGAATCAAGCTTCATTGTCGACAGACTCAAGTGTTGGTTAATTTCAAGAAGGTTCTTGTTACTCATTCAAAAGTGTGGTGAACCACTATCTAGTATCTCTATTTCCTTTCACCTTGACGTAATGACACGAATTATTTCCCTTCATTAAAAAACAAAAACAAATTAAGCTGTATTTCAGTTTTTCTTGTCATCTCATAACTTGTCTAAAATCACATTTTACTTAACAATCACCTAATTTTTAAAATGTTCGTGAATAAAACGAATATTGTAAACAATGGCTTAAGAGATTTATATCGACTGAAAAATAGGTAAATTATGTTACTTAATTTTGGGGTAAAATTCTGATGCAATTTGAAGTATATATTCCCCAATTAAATATTTGCATTCCTAGGAAATATTTCTCATTGCTTAATTACACAAATCATCTTGTGAAATATTTAATCATAAGCAAATGGTTTATTTCTGACTACACCACTTAGTCGGAATAGTTTTGTGAACCTTCTGATACTATATCTGCCAGGAACTATTTCCAGATATTTGAGCAAGGAATTTTGAATTATGGAAACACATGAACAGTGTATTTTTACCATTTCTTTAGAAAGAGCCGGGGAAATTCAACGGAACTCCAAGCAACAAGTCTCAAGTGTATTATCCTGTTTCGATGCTAAATAGCACCTGCTCCGAAGAGTCCGTCTGGGTGCTGATACGCAACGTAAAAAAGAGCTTATTCATGAACCGGATTCGACGTATGTCGTCACGGGAAGGCAACCTACATTGTAGACAAGTTAATCCCGGGGCTCGGGCGGATGTTCTTCCTGTGCTACGGACGGCTGTTCTCAACTATCGCCTCGTTGAAGTCCTCGTTGATGGTTGATAAAACATATACTATTTCGTGCCCTCCATTCATACTTGGTTTTTAAGCAGAAGTTTTTCGTTTTTGTTCCTCTTTCAAGCACCACGAGTGTGATAAATTGAAAATTCTGGGAGCGGTTATTGGAACGTTTAGCGAGAATGGATTTGTGACGATATCGAGAGCACGAGATACGACTACTTCAGTTGAGTTGATTGTCGAAATTCGCACGCCAACCTTCCCTCGAAAGAGGATTTGGGCTGCGAAAATGGTGACAGGAAGCGGCATCGGAAACACGTGTTCTGCCTAGGAAGATATTAGTAACTTCTTTGAAATCTCCGGCAAGTGTTTTTCACAAACTGTTTCGTCAAGTGCACCACCTCACACTATCTCAGTGGGAACGCACGTATTTTGTAAAAAAAAAACTCAGTACACTTTCGTTTTTGAAAATTGAATGTTTTATTTCAAAATAGCTTTTTGTGGTGCTCAAAATTGCGTACTGTGATACCACGCGGCGGCGGCGGTGGCAGCAGAATTCATCTGTCTAGAAAAAAAAGAAACAAATAATTGTCTTAAACATTAGATCGTTTTCGAAAAGAAATTTTGTTCGGTGATGCACCAAATCTCACAGTGTGACAGTTGCAGATACGCCGTCGACAATGAACATAGTTTGTGAAGAAAGACATAGATTATCCTTGCATCATCAATAATGCTACTAGAGTTTTTTTAAACCTTTTAATTAAAAAAATATTAGGTATGAGGCAACGATGTTAATGCTCAGAAAACATCGATGTTTTTATAAAATTATCGATGGCTTTAATATTTTTTATTTGAAGCCAATGTTTTTAACATCGATGTTTTGTGTTCTAGTATATTATTTTTTAATGAAAGTACCATCATAATAAAAATCTATAATTATTTTCAAAAATTGAATATTCTTCAGACCAATGTGATTAAGAGTGAGAATATTAAAAATCGAGTTTTTATTTGTGAGAAATGAAGCCTACACATTTTTAATTACGAAATCAGATGGTAAAAGTTTTGTTAAATATTATGGTCATTTTTACTGTGTTTTTTCAATTAAATCTCAAATAAAAATTATTAAATTTAAAAAATCCTAAATTACCTATCATATGACCTATGCAGTTTTGAAACATTAATGTTTAAAAACTCGATAATTGTGCGGCCATTGTTTTTATTAACATCCATGTTTTAATTCTGAACATCGGTTTTTAGAAGCTTCGATTTTTGATGTCGTTTGCCTGTTCAAAATAGATCGAAAGATTTCTTCGAAATTCTCTTCGACTGCTGAGGCGCGAAATCGCCCACTGCGTGACGCCGTCGTGGACGTACGTGTCTGCCGCAATCGGGCGACCGCAGCGGTTCCTCCATGGCGCCGCGCTGCGTCGCGTCGCGTCGCGTCGCGTCGCGCCGCGCCGGAAGTCGAGGTCGCCGGCGCAGCCCTTCCGCCGGCGCGGGCGCCCCGACGCCGTGCGGTCCCGTCCCGACGCCGCTGCGGCCGCGCGAAGGCGGCGTTCGCTCCGACGCCAGCGCCCGCCCGCCCGAAACCCGCGCGCGGAGCGTCGCTGGTCGGACGCCGCCATGGCCACCTGCAGTCCGCGCACGGCCGTCTGGAAGCTGCTGCTCGGAGCTCTGGTGGTGCAGTGCGTGGCTGCGAGTTCGCCTCCAGCGTTGCGCCATGCGAGGCATTTGCGGCGCAGCAGAACGGTGGACGAGGCGACGCGGCGAGTAAGTAGGTTAGGAAGCATGAGCGGGAAGTCGCACATGATATGGCATTTACTAGTTACGAAAACTATTCTAATTCAGAGCTAATTGCCCTGTAATGGCTTTGAATATAGGGAATTTGTATTTAACATCGCCTTCTACCAAGTAGAAAAAAATTATTCAGATGTTTTGTGTTTGGATAAAGAGTTTTATCATTTTTTTACAAAGTGTGAGTGTTTCTATCGAAGATTTGCTCCTAGAAATTATTTTCATTTATTTCAATGGATTTCTGTTACGTCGCTTACACAGAAGGGTAGCTTTGCCATGTTTCATTGTCCAACTTTTATAGCACCAAATAGCAGACATTATTAGAACATTTCTCAATTTTCTACATAAATGGAGTGTTATTTTTTTTTGTTTCACGAATTCACCTGGCGTTTTACGTTCTAGTTTAATGTATTATAGTTTAGTCTATTGGGCAACTATGTGTCCACAGTGAAAAGTATTTGTATTTATTTTGGCGAGTTTATAAAAAAATGCATGTTTTGTTTTCAGATTGCCCAAGACATTGCTGTAAAAGTGACGAATGTTAGTTCGGTGACTCAGCTTTACAACTTAATGGTGCAATACAATAAACAATACTGTGATGATTCAGTCTTTAAAGAACTAGAGAAGTTATCTAAATCACGACAAGACGAGGTACGGCATACGATATTACGTAAATGCTTTTATGTGCGTTTGCATGTGACATTACATCTTTATTGCAAATTTTCCAGGCTGCACTTCTCAGTATGAAGGCGCATTGCAGGAAGTTCAAACAGAGGCACCTGGCTCGTAGCCTGCAACGCAGAGAAACGAGAGGTTCCATGAAAATTGGTAGGTGTAGAATATTTTTGCTAATGTCTGTAGTTAAGTCAACAGTTAGGCTGTACTAATGTGTCTATTTGCGTTAAAAATATACATTTGGTTAAGCTATTTTGTAATATATATGTTCACTGTCGTAGTAACCACAAACCTCAATGTAATAAGTGCAATGAAGTTGGGAGAAGCTCTTGCAAATTTAGCTTCTACCCTTTTCTAGTGTGAAAATTTATGAAGAAAGTTAGCGAAAATTATTGTAATACAGAACAATTTGTGCTGCAAGGTCTTTTGATGTTGTGGATAACTACTTAATCCCATTTTCTACAAAGAAAAAGTAATTCTGATTTACTTCGGTACGGGAAAAGTGCTAATTTGTTTTAAACTGAAATTAATTTATTCCTGTTTTTGTCTTTACGAGAAGCTCTATCAAATACCATTCGAACCGTAAAGAGTTACTTTTTTATTAAAAGAAAAATAATTTAGAAAAGTTCTGTGTTACACGTTTTATCCAAATGTACACACAACTTGGTAGATGGAAATCGTAACTGAAAAATATTGAATATTATGTATCGCAAATTACTGTTTCATATAGTAAATAACGTAAACTCCGATCTTAAATATTATTTTTAATTAATTGTTTTGTTAAATATTATTTTTAATTAATTTATATATCTCAACTTATATCTTCATTGTAATAATAGAAGTTCTTAGGATAACAAGAGGCTACCCACATTGATCTGGTGCTGAGATATTGAGCGTTTCCCCAAACTTTTCATAATATAACTCAGTAGAGTTTAAAACTTCAAACACATAAGCTTGCAGATAATCTATACTGATTTTAAATATATTACACTATAAGAATAATATTTGAAGTTTTATGTAATGTTAATAATTCAATTTCACACATGTGTAATAGCCCTTTGTTCTACATAGCCCTTCATTTTTTAAAGCATTTAGTCTCTTGAACTATTCCATTGAAAAGAAATAGAAGTTGTGCATGTAAGCTCCGTTTAATTTGTTTAGAAATAACGGAGAATGAAGTATTGCTTGCCAAAGTTTGATAATCAAATGGTCATGCTGTACACCGATACTCCACTGGATCAAATAAATCCCTCTAACTCAAAATTTATTTCATATTTTTAGCTACAACTTCACGAAAGTTCCTTATGACGATGTGATACTTAGCGTAAGTAAGTGGCATCAAAATTGGAAATGATCTCGCGGGGCACTCATTCAAAATTAACTTCAAATTATCATTTTTATACCTCCAGACCTACTTTTTACTTCTCGTGTTAAAAAATGCACTACCCAAACGGTATCAAAACGTGTGTATGGACATTTCTTAAAATAAGGATTAAAAATTGAATTCTTGTAGCTTCGATCGATATCAAAACATCTGTGCAGACACTAGCAGATGTAGAAAGATACCGATCGTGATGTTGTGATGTATTCAATTTTTCAGAATTGAGAGATCAAAAGATCGGTCAGGTGTCCGGAATTCACCAATTCGCCCTCTAAAAACATTAATTATATGTTCACCAAATATCAGTACATCATTATACCAGTATATCATTACATTCCCCGCAGGGGGGGACTGCGTCAGTGGTCATGGTCTCTGGTGGAGGGTCGTAGACAATCATCCGGCTCCTGAGTGTCACGGCGGTACTCACGTCGCTAGCTTCAAGGTGGAGGCAGTGAGTATTGCCCGGTGACCCACCAGTCGGGCTTATGGCGCGTCAACCTTTGGGCAGGATTGGGTGAAGGAGATCATTCGGGATGCTCGGGAATCCACATATAGAAATCGAGCGGGAAATTACCTCCTGTCAGGTTGCCTAGGTTCCATGTGATACTCACGTCGTTAGCCTCAAGGTGTAGGCAGTGAGGAAACGGGAATGGGGCCCCAAGACGCCTAAACCATAGTTCTGAGAGGTCCCCTGTTGGGCTCTTGTCCCTAGTATGGAGCCACTGCCATAACGAAGCCAAGTCTATCCTCTTTGCCCAATGTGAGTGGAGCATTGGTTTTACTCCAGTACTAGCCTGGATAGCTAGTATCTCTGGGCTGGCAGAGCGGCCCAACCCAGGCATTGAATGGGTAGGTTGCCCCGACTCCAAACTACGTTCCGTCGGGATCCGGATATCCGCCTGTCGGCGTACTTGTGCGCCAGTGGGGGATGCGGATAATGAGTGACGCCTTAATGCCTACCCCCCGGGGACGTGTGCCCCCTGGTAGAACATGAATCGCAATCGGCTTGTAGCACACACGAGGTCTCCATATCATCACATAATACAAAATTTGAAAAAATTAATTCTTTGTATTAACTAATTAGTAAGTATGTAGGATTTCTAGTGGTAATTATATCTGCAATGTTTCCATCTGCACTTCTCTTGCACTAAATTATTAGTTAATAGTTCAGAATATAATGATATAGATTTATTTCCATGAGATAAAATGCAAATATCTAATTTATTCCGAATTGAATAATTCGAAATGGAAAACCCAGTTTTACAGTTTAATATCTCGATTGTTTCAGGTAGCGAAGCTCAAGAAATAGAAGCATTGGTCAAAAAATTTCAACGTACGAAAACAGGTTGCAAACCTAAAAACACCTTAGTTGAATTTCCCCCGTCTGCAGAATCTGTTTACTTACCCAGATGCACCAATGTCAAAAGATGCTCCGGATGCTGTCCAAACAAACTCCACGTGTGCCGACCGGTTGCTGGCAACATACAGACTGTGAAACGCAAGGTATTTTTATTAGAGAATTGCCTGTACAAAAGAGATGTTCAAATGTTCTCGAACCCAATGTATAAGTGTGACAGAATGTCTCATTAGGAGTGAAAGCCTCAAAATGACATTTTTTAAAAGCGTTTCAATTTTGAAACGGGTCTTTGTGATAATACAGTATAAGTTTGACTTTAAATGCAATAAATTATACATGCAAGTTTTACTTTTTTAACATTCCTGCTAATTAGGTGCTATATATAACCTAAAACTTCAAATCCAATGTTTTACACGACTGTGCGACCGCAAATAAGGATGCAATAATCCTTCTTACACACTTAAAGCTTTATAGTACTGCAAAGAGTCAATTATTTCGCTAATTTGTTTCCAAATAGCGATCATAATACTGGATTGCATATGACTGGGTACAGCCAGAATTACTCCGCATACTCCCGAGAGTGCTCTAGGCTCCTTGTTATCTCTTCTAATTAATAACTAATGATGCTACATAATGACATAGACGTTCGCGTACTAAATGCCGTAGTGACAGCAGAGATATTGTAGTAATCCATGATTATTAATTCAGGATAGTGGAGGTATCGGCCACAAAGTATTTTATTACAATATTTTAATAAAGAGAAAACACAGCCATACACGTGTTACGTCATTCAAGACCACAACTTCATCCCATCGTCAGTGGCTTCAAGCAACATGGATTAAACACGTTAGTAGGATTTAACGTGGCGCGATCTTTTATGTTGTCGTGGTAGCCAAACAGGGGATGCGCTAAAGTTGTCCCCACACACGTGTATGGCTGTTTTTTCTATTTATTAAAATGTATATTGTATTAAACAACTTCGTGGTTGATACCTCCGCTATCCTGAATTTCTCATACTAATTAGATTCTTATACTTTTCGACTTCTAAAAGACTACCAAGTACTCTCGCGGTACCTATCGCTCCTCTTGGAGGTGGTAAAGAGCACCTTTTAAGACTTCGAACATCGGACAAGCCTATCTCAGTCCTGGACATTTACACATTTGTCTGTGGCATTCCTTGACCCCAATTTCGATTGTAAAAGACTAGGAATCCCCACCACGTCCAATACAACTGAAAATCTTCATGTCTTACGTAGGTTTCAAACCCACAGCTTTAGTGGCCAGGTGCTTCAATTTATCTGCTTCGAGCTCCTGTCTCACTTGGGCGAATCACTGGACCGTACTAATAATGTAAACGGTTTTGAAATATTATTGGATAAAAAAATCATATAATTGAAACTTAATATTTTTACATATGCCCGAACCTCTTTTAATATACTTTACACTATTGAATCTGTTTTCGGGGCTTTCTAAAACCATTCGTTTTGATAGCAACAGTATAAAGTTATTTTAGCATTAAAATCTTGCAACAACGCACACAGTGATCAACAATTTTCTCAATATTAGCTGATTGTACAGAAAAGGCTGTAGAACAATGTTTAGAGCACATATCAATTAATTCAAAGTTTTAATTCCCTTTTTTGTGATATTTACAATCATGAAATTGTTGTTTTTTTTATCAAAAAGTACATTATTTTTACACATTTTCTCAGTATTTCGATCCCCCAATAGAAGAACGGAAATTTGACTTGAAGGATATTTTAGAATTGTAAAACATCTATTTAACAATTTTTTAATGCAAAATTTGAAGCTGTTTTGAGGAAATATCATTACTAGCGTATCTGAAAATGGACAATTTTGCGCTCATTTTCACAGAAAAGATTTGAGTTTTCAAAAAACTTCATCAGACATCTTTTGAGACCCTTGTACTCTCAAATGCAGTAATGTATAAAGAATGCCTGCAAAGTATTAATGATGAGAAAATGTAAAAAATTACTTTCCTGAACTTTTTGAAGAATTAAAAAAATACACCACAATGGCTTTAATGTTACGTTATTTATTGCGATTAGCATTATCCATACAAAATATTGAAGGAGAAAATTAGGAGTCATTTTTTTAGAATATCTTGTTTTTAATTTGTTTTTCTATTTTCTCCACATTTCACTTAAAATTCTTTGAAAACTACTTGTATTTTCACAAAAATTATATGACATTGTGAAGAATATATTTAATTTGAAGAAAAAATCTCTATCTGTAATAATATACTCGTAGTGGTTCCAGGAGGTCCAAAAATTTCAAACTTTCGCAATTTTTCAAAATTAACAGTTAACAGTGAAAATATGAGCTGTGCCACTTTGTAAGTGCATTTCACTCTATTCTTAGAGGAATTGTTTTTAAAAATTTGAATTATTTTTAAGAAATTTTTGATTAAATCCCAGAGCCCATATGTAAAATTCCTCCAATTTTGTAGGATTTCTGCATAAATCACTGGGATTCAAGTCAGGCCGGATATTAAGCTACTTTATTCTATTCGAGCTAAAAACATTAAACAAAATATAGGAGCCTTTGGCGGGGAAATTGTTTTTTTAATTGTTTTTACTTCATTTCATTTATACGACCTACTATTCAAGAAGATACTTCATTTAGAAAATATACATTGTCAGATACAGTATGAGGACATTGGTATTCTAAAAAACCTCGTGGAGAAGCAGTTTTCGGCAGAAAGACTCTCATTGCCGCGTTCTGGTAAAGAAGAAGTGGATAATTCTTGGTCCTACATTTCAAGTACTTTCTTTAATACATTGGGTAGTCAGATCCCCTTTTTTGTGGGCCCTTGTCACCAAAAAAATTGACGGCAAAATGTCGGTCCGTACTTTGTGGTCAAAGCTAGCACCTAAACCATTCGGGCGAATTTCGCAACAATTGGTATTCTCCAATCAGAACTCTGTATCTTTAATTCTGTAAATCTTCATACTCTGTATCTTTAGTACGGCTTCAGCACTACAGACCACCTTCAATAATCAATCAGATCATCGAAAAAACACAAGAATTTAATATAAAATTGTACATAGCATTTGTTGAATTTACGAAAGCTTTTGACTGTGTCGCCGATAAACATATAAACATTTTAAAACAACTATATGCCCACGTCCAAGCACAAGTAAGAACAGATCATGAAGGAGAAATATTTCAAATTAAAATAGTAAATTAGGGGTGACCAATTTCCCCTAAAGTATTTAATAGTGTGCTTGAAACGTGTTTCCGTAAAATAAATTGGTCAAAACAAGCAGGTGTAAATGTCAGCGGTCGTCGGTTAACAAACCTCCGTTTTGCAGACGACATCGCTCTATTTGCTACATCGCCTGAAACTCTAAAAAAATGCTATGCGATGTAATCTCAAGATGCACGGAGGTCGGTGTACAAACTTATCGAAAACTAAAGTAATGAGTAACAGCGAACCCAAATGAATAATGGTGAACTACTGTAACATATATTAGTCCAAGAATACGTGTACCTGGACCAGATAGTATCTTTTACAAATAGAGGAGGTAAAGAAATTAGAAGAATTAAATTAGTATGGAGAAAATTATGGAGCCTCTCTTTCACACTTCTAAATAAGAAGATAAACCTCAAAATCAAAATTGTATTAATGGACGTGTGCCGTTTGCCTGTATTGATTTATGGATCACAAACATGGTCATTAACAGCAGCGCAAATAAAATGACTACAACGATGCCAGGGGAAAATAGAACGAAAGATGATAACATTTTGCTCTTAGACAAAATACATCCACAGAAATTAGGAAAAAGACCAAAATCAAGGAGTACAGCAAGGCAAAGTGAGTAAATGGCGTTGGGGAGGACACATCGTAAGACAGGACCAAAAGCTATGTGCGTACACTACAACAACCTGGGACCCTCGGGATGGTTGAAGGAACCAAGGCAGACAGAGAAGATAGGCAGACGAGATAAGCAAGGTAGCTGGTCCCACCTGGACGAGACTGGCCCAAGAGAGGATCATGGAGACAACTGTAATACGAACAGTCAAAAGATGATTTTACAAATGTCAACCTACTGTAACCCTACAAAATCAGGATTTGCCCTTTATGGGATGTTGTAGGCTAATAATACCTTTAATGCTATGTAACTTAGTATTCTGAATTTTCGATTCTCTGTATCTTTAGTACTCTGTATTATAATTTGATGTTCGCGAATCTGAAACTTTCTTGTTTCAAAACTAATAGAGTGCGATGCCACATGACCAAATGAACGTCTCCGTTAATTCCTGCAAATTACCAAAATAAAAAAGTGAAATAACTGATGCATGCAATTTAATGCTACAAAACTATTTTTAAAACTTCAGTGAAATTGAAAGTTAATCATTGCAATGGGAAACTGTATATTTATTCTCAAAGACTATGTGCTTTACAATATGTAGTGAAATATATCCCTAATATTTGGAGAACTAAGTAATGTAGGGAATAGTAAAATTACATTTTGTGAATACAAACTTATTATGAAATCGTTTTAAAATATCTTAATGTGCCCGCTTTGGCATCTGAAATAGTTTCTTTTTTTAGTAAGAGGCATTTTAAGCGAAACGTACTACTACATTGTGATGCATTAACTATACAAGTACAAAACCTTATTTTTCAGGTCGTTGACATTAGAGTGAGCACCAAAGACTATAAACCCATAATGAAGGTGAAAGTGATGGAAGTTGAACAACATAATAAATGTGAATGTGGTTGCAAAGTAAGTATCTAAACCCATACATTTTTTGTTGAAATTGTTTACTACTAATTCCATTGGTAACATGCGAGAATAGACATTCAAAAGAAAATTCTATTGTTTCTAAACGATACACCTTTTAACATGAAAGTAATATTGCCGTTTTAACACAGATAACTGTTCAGTGTTCACCTCAACATGAATATGATGAACAAAACTGCAATTGTCGATGTAGGTATAGTCATGAAATGAAACATTGTTCTTTTCCAAGAACGTGGAACTCGAATAACTGCAAATGTGAGTGTCCTCCTGCAAGTTGCAGTCCAGGTCACCACCGCGATCCCGAAACCTGCAAGTAAGTACCATTATGGTAATCATTATAGGCTATTAACAAGAATTGATTAACATTCAATGTAGTTGAAAATATATCATATATCAAAGAGTGATAACATTTACTTTTTACAGGTGCATAAGAAGTTCCTCAATAATTAATCTTACTACCAAGTTGAAAAAGCGAAATAGAAATACGGAAAAACCCGGGTAAATTACAAATAGAATAAACATGTAATAAAGTTATGTAAATAAAATGAGTTGTTATTTTGTAAGGTGTTGAGCGTGTATTATATCCTGTGTTGTTATTAATTTCGCTTGCATGTTAAATAAGACTGTAATCAAAATTATTTTTTAGGGATCTTGATCAAGATAAATACTTCGATATTTCAACGATAAAAGAATATACAAGAACCCCTAAAACGCAGTTCAGGATACTCTGTTTGCTTATTTGAGACTAGTTTTTCGTGGCGCCTTCAACGAGTATTTTCACGTCAAAAAGTTTTATTTATGAATTACATGTACGTAAAACAAGTAAATTTATAACATATTACAATTCCCCCGCTCTTACATTTTCGCTCATAGAAAGATACATGAATTAAAATGCTGTTTATTATTTTTTGCATTAGAAAATTAGATTTAATTGTCGTCCCTTAAATGATTTGAGTCGTAACTAATTATTTAAATACCATAAAGAAAGTGCAGTAATCCACAGCGTCCCACTAATGTATTCGGAGGTACTAGGAAACCAGCAAAAATACGTTTGGTTTCGCAATTCCTCCAGATTGTCCTGCGGGGCTGCTCAAGCAGAGCGAAGCGGGAGCGCGTTGGCAACAGAGCCCCGACCCCGGAGCCGCAGCGTTTCGCGGCTGACGATAACCTCTGTCACAGTGTTTACTTGGCTGTCCGGGAGACGCCGCGGCGCGCAGGTGCCAACGTTTCGGTTGTCATTCTGCTTCCTTCATCAGGGCGCAGTATTGCGCGGATATTTTTCATTTTCCCTTCTCCAGATACCCTGGAGAGGCGGGAATTTATTTACGTTAAGGATACATATTTTCCTGCAGCACACGAGCATTCTGCAGATTGCTAGGGTGGTATCTTAAATAAACTAACTTATACTATCTTG